GGGTATTCTCGCACACAGCCCTGCCCAAAACAATACTCAGCCCAAAAACTCTGTGTGTGTGTGTGTGTGTGTGTGTGTGTGATACGCACTTTTTGTCTTTACTGGGGATTATGTTTACAGCTATGTTAATGGGAGGGTGAGTTCACACCTGTCAACCTGACCAGGGGTTTAATCCAAATTATAGAGGTTTAACCCAGCTCATACCACACACACACACATACACACTCAGAGACTCACAACAACAATGGACACAAACACACAGTCACATTTCCAGCACTGGAATGGGTTACCTAGGGAGGTGGTGGAATCTCCTTCCTTAGAGGTTTTTAAGGTCAGGCTTGACAAAGCCCTGGCTGGGATGTTTTAGTTGGGGATTGGTCCTGCTTTGAGCAGGGGGTTGGACTAGATGACCTCCTGAGGTCCCTTCCAATCCTGATATTCTATGATTCTATGATTCCCGCCACACTCATATGTACACGCACGTTCACACAAATACACTCAGAGAGAGACAGACATACACAACAGAAACACACATTCACACTGTCTCTCTCACACACAACCTCTCTCACACACACCCACTGAAGCACACTTACAGACACATCAAGCTGGCAACCACAGAGATGCAACATGGACACATGGACAGTCCCACACACAGTCAGACACACAGATAATCACGTGCACATATGGACAGTCCCACCCACAGACAGACACACACAACCACACACATCTTAGTCCATTGTGGAAGCTCAATGGCTCAGAATCTGGGCTCCTTACCGGGGCTCTGGCTCTGGGTATAACCACAGTGTTTTGGGGGATACCTCCCCACACATCCTGTATCACCCCTGGCCTGTGCATCTCTCCTGACTCCCAGGTCCTCTCCCCTTTCTAGACCAGCTCCCCTTCCTGTCATAGCCATCTCCGCTGGGGCCCCCTACTGAGCCCCCTGCAGCACGGCCTACTGGGGGTCTATCTCTTGCCCACTCCGGCTCCAGGTGGGGCTGCTAGTCAGGGCATCTCTCTGGCTCTGTTTTAGCTCCTCTCCGCTCAGTTCTTGAGACCCCTCCGCGGGGACTTTGCTCTTTACTAGGCAAGAAAAATGGCACAACACTCCATGCTCAGCCAGAACCAAGCTCAGCCCTGCCTCTCACACCCTCTCTATACCCAGCCCAGCAGGTTCTTCACCACCATGGAGGTTTCCAATGGAACCCAACCTGGGCCATGGGGGAAGTTGGGAGACATACTGGACTCCACAGCATCCCCTGCTGCTCACTGAAGTGATGCCGATGTGGAGGGGTAGAGCTAGGGTGATGATAACATGACCTGGACGGAAGTGGAGTGGGTGGGAAATCATCCACCTGAGTTATAAATGGATCATCATCCCATTTCTGATCATCACCTGGCAGAAAAAGAAGACCTTGAATTTTCCCCACACTTTGATTAGATTGAGACTCTTCCCAGACTGCGCCTCACTGAATCCTCCTTCACTGAGAAGCTGTACGGCTCTGGAATTCTGCTGTGATGCTGGTGTGAGCGGTGGGAAACCGGTGTGAGCGGTGGGATACTGGTGTTAGCCAGGGGATATTGGTGTTAGCAGTGTGATATTGGTAATCAAGGTGAGATATTGGTGTGAGAGGTGGGAAAATGGTGTGAATGGTGGGAAACTGGCATCAGTCATGGGATATTGGTGTTAGCAGTGGGATATTGGTATTTGAGGGGAGATACTGCTGTGAGAGGTGGGAAATTATTGTGAAATGTGGGATACCGCGGTCAGTCATGGGATATTGGTGTCAGTGGTGGGATACCGAGGTTAGCTGTGGGATACTGGTTTGAGAGCTGTGAAACAGATCTGATATGTGGGACACTGGGGTCAGTGGTGTGAAAGGAGGGACACTGGTGTTAATACAGGTGCCAGTGGTAGGATACTGGTGTTAATACAGGTGTCAGTGGTGGGATACTGGTGGCAGAGAAGTGGGATACTGGTATGAATGGTGAGAAACTGGTGTTAGCAGTGGGATCTTGGTGTCAGTGGTGGGATACTGGGGTGAGCAGTGGGAAACTGCTTTTAGAAATGGGATATCAGTGTCAGCCAGTTGAACAACTATCCCATCGCTTCACTGCCACGTAGGGGGAAGGGGCAGGTTCATGGGGCACAGACCGTGGAAGCCATGTTTGGCTCAGTAGCGCCCCCTGCTGCAGGTGAAAGTGATGGCGATATTAAAGGGGTGAATTAAGGTGATATTAACATGGGGGTGATTGGGCACCACAAGGAAAACCCTGACCTGTATCTCCCCCAGATAGGGCAAGAGGTGATGGAGATGAGCTGGGGGTGGGGGTTATCTGTTATCCTGGGGGAGGGGGGTGTCTTTTACCTCCCCAATGCCCTGCCGGCACAAAGAAAGCCCAGCTGTTATCTCAGCAGGATTCTGCTATGGCCACCACCGTGACAGCCGGCTCAGCCGGCCCCATCACCATCATCAACAGGTTCATCACCCAGCCCCACACGACCAGTGCTGCCATCCCGGCCAAACCGCAGCCCCTGGAGAAGTTCCACAAGGGGGAGCCGCTGGCCCTCGGGGTGAGTATCCTGCGGACTAAAAGGGATAACTGCTTTTGGGAGGCTTCCCCACCCACCTGGGACAATCAGCCAATGAGAGCTTGTTCTGATGATGTCATGGTTTGAAGGTGGTGTCCCATTGGCCAGATACTGGGGGATGGAATTCCAGAGGACGATTCCCTCCAGTGTTTAGGATACACTGGGTGGGTGTTTATGTGACCCAGCCCTGACTTCTTGCTGCCCCCATGTTTGCCCGGACATGAGCGTCGTGCCAGGGAGGAGCCTGGCCCAGTTACCCCAGAAACGCCAGCATGGTTCTTGCAGAGAAGGCAGCCGGCTGGGGTCAGCGTAATCCCCTGACAGCGGGCACCTATTCCTCCTGTACCTGCCAGACCATGGGTCGCTGTCCCTGATCTCAGGCAATGCTGGTGCGTCCCCCTGACCGTTGCTTTCCAAGCCCAGATCCCCCATGCCAAGCACCTGCATTCAGCCTGTCTATATTTCAGCCTGTCTGACTTCCCTGGTGGGAGCCATGGGCTGGTTCACAGGGACTGTGGCTTCTGCTGGGATTATAATTCCCAAAATTTTGTGATGATAAACCCCATAGAAACATTACATTTGCCTCCCTCATGTCCCGGATCAGACCCACGGGCCCATCTAGCCCAGTATCCTTCCCAACTCTCCCTGCTGTGTCAGATCTGACCCATGGGCCTACTTACCCCTTCCCTACCATAAACTCTTAGTGTGGCCCTTGGGCAACTCCCTCAATCTTGCTCCATGCCTCAGTTTCCCTACCTGTACAATAGCGATAACAGCACATTTCTGCCTCCCAGGGGAGTTGGGATGGGGAGGATCAATGCATTAAAGACTGAGACTATGAGAGACTATGGCCATGGTAGGGCGGTCCCTAGGGGGGTGCGGGGCCCGGGACATCGGTTCCAAATTTCTAATCTGCCGGGGGCTGCTGCCCCCTGGCCCCACCCAGGCCCTGCTCCCACTCCACCCCTTCCCCCCAAGGCCCTAACCCTCCTCTGCTCCTTCCCAGCCCAGTTCTGCCCCCTCCCACAAGCACGCTGCACCCTCCCTCCTCTCCCCTCACTCACAGCACCTCCTGATGCCGCAAAAAACATCTGATACATGGTAGGCGATAGGCGCAGATTGGCAGGGCCCACCGGTGGGCAGGAGGCGCTAGGGGAAGGGAGAGGTTCTCGTAGGGGGGGCTCCTCCTCGCCCCCCCCACCAGCTTGCCGCTCGCCTCCCCATTCGCCTCCTCACCCCACTTGCCCACCCGCCTCCCGCCTCACCTCCCCGCCTGTGCGGGGCCCCGATTTGCCGTACCCAAGGGACGGCTCTGGATGATGGGCACCAGATAAATACCCAAGACAGAGGGACCTGTTAAGAGCACCAAGGGGAAAGCGACCCCTAGCGAGCTCGGGGTGCAGTGATGAAATTCTTGGCTTTGCTTCCTGGTAGATCACCCAGATCCTAGTTGGAGCCGTGCAGTTTGCTGTCGGGGTGGTGATGGCTATGGTCAACTCCTATTTGTGGATAATGGCATTGAGTGTGCACGTCCCGATATGGAGTGGGTTGCTGGTAAGTCTCCACCCCACCCTGCCCTCTGCCATCGGGTCACATGTAGGAGCAGGGAAGGATTGGAGCATGCTCAGTGCAGACAGATCCTTTGGAGAATCTAGCTGCCAAATTCTAACACATCTCCACGGAGCATGTGCAAATGGAAATTTTTCAAATGCTTATAATTTGGCCAAATTTGAGTGGACTTTTTATGGAACAGCAAAAGGCACATCCTTGTCCCTAGGGTGACCTCCCCCGCCACATTTCCAGGCCCTGCTCCAAAGCATGCAGGCACTAGAGCTTCTCAATGAAATAGTTGTAAGAATTATTTTTACCATGGGCAAAACAACATACTTTCCCCAGCCTCATTCTCAGCAATGGCTGAACAATTTGGACTGAAATTTATCCCCAAAATTGAGCCTGCAGCAGGCTGAGAATGGGAAATTTCAGCCCTAATAGTTAATGCTTGGCAAAGTTATCAGCACCTGAAAGTAGGATCTTATAATGGGATGTGTTGGGCAACCTTACCTCTAGGTGGCGCTAGCAGCAGACCCTACAATAGACTACGTGGGGCTCTAATCCCACCAGGCAGTTTGCCAGGGCGCCGGAGAGAACTATACAGACCTGCAGGGTCAGGCTGTGGGTGGATCAGCACAGACGTTGGTTCCCATGTGGCCACCGACCTTTACCCTGTCTCCTGCTGGACTACCTCTCCCAAGCTCACCCTTGTCTAGTATTTCCCAGCATGCATAGCACCTATCCACCCCGCTGTGCTCCGTGAGCACTAGACACAGGCACAGCCCTGCTTCTAACTCTTTCTCTCTTCCCCTCACAGTACATCATCTCGGGGGCCCTCTCAGTGGCGGCTGCAAAGAATCCCAAGATACAACTGGTACGAATTGATGCCTCAGTTTCCTTCCTTCCTTCCTATCTATCTATCCCTGTACACCCCCTCTATCTATCTATCCCACCCACCCCCACACACACCCCCTCTATCTATCTATCTATCTTATACCCACAATCACTCGTTCTTTCCAAAGTGGTTGAATTATTTGAACTGTACCTCAATCCAGCTTCGCGATTGAGCCCCTAAATGTTCTGTCTGAGCGAGGGTTTGGCCATTAGGCTGTACTGCTACAGCAATGGGAGTGAACATCATGATCACAATAATGGGATGTCATCGTGTGGGCTCTCCCCACAGCCAGGGTGGGGCTGGGCTCTGTGCCTTGTTGCCCGCGTGTGTCCAGCTGGGCTCTCAGCGCACGCCTCTCTCCACCCCCGTCTCCCATCCAGGTGAAAGGCAGCCTGGGAATGAACATCATCAGCTCGGTGCTGGCCGGATGTGCCATGATCCTGTACCTGATCAGCTTGATGGAATCCAGGCATCAGAACAGGTGTAACTGGTACCCGGAGGAATGCATGGCTTTTGTGAGTACTTGGTACCGCAGCACGAGGGCAGGGCTGTCAGCGCATCCACCCCTGCTCCCACAGGGACCCACCTGCCTCCCATGGCCACCCCAGGGACTGCCTTACCCAGCTGGCAGGGGCCTTTCCCTTCCAAGGGTGCTGGCTCTGATCCAGCCCCAGGGCAGGGGGTGGGGAATGGGACATGAGGCCTTTCCTCTCATGGGGGTAGTTGCTCTGACCCCGCCCCAGGGTGGGGGCATGGCTGGCAAGGTTGAGGGAATGGGACATGGGGACTTTGCCCTGTAGGGAATTCAACAGCTTCCTGTTGGCAGAAGGTAACCATGGCCTGCATCATGGTTCTGTTCCTGTTCACCTTCTTGGAATTCGTTGTCTCCATCTCCACTGCGGCCTTTGGGTGCAAAGCCGTATGCCGGAACAGCTACAGCGAAGTGGTAATGATGCGTCACCATGGGGCCTGTATTAATTTCAGGGACGGTGGAGGGGTCTAGTGGCTTACAGGAGGAGTGGTGGGAGCCAGGACACCAGGGTTCAATTTCCATCTTGGGATGGGAGTGGGAATCATAGAAGAGAATATCAGGGTTGGAAGGGACCTCAGGAGGTCATCTAGTCCAACCCCCTACTCAAAGCAGGACAATCCCCAGACAGTTTTTTGTTTTTTTTTACCCCAGTTCCCTAAATGGTCCCCTCAAGGATTGAACTCACAACCCTGGGTTTAGCAGGCCAATGCTCAAACCACTGAGCGATCCTTCCCCCCCATCTAGTGGGCTAAAGTAAGTGTGTGTGGATGGGGAGAGAGATTGGGAGCTAGGACTCCAGGGTTCTATACTGGGAGCACATCACTGGGGTGTTGCTGGGCTGAGAGGCACGCTTGAGTCCTGTCCTGATAGGTTTACCTTTTCCTGCAGTCTGTGGTCATTTACCAGAACATGGTGCCTCCAGGTGATCCAACTACTGCCACCAACACCCACACTGACGCTGTTGCCTGCACTCCTCCCCCTTACACGGACATCGCCACCCCATGAGCTGCTCCCTAGGGCAGCCACTGCCTGGATCACCACCTCCCTACATACCGTGGAGACCAAAGCAGCAGAATGGGAACTGGTCATAGCTCCTCGCTCCCGACACTGAGCCTGCTGAACCCCATGCACTGACCACACTGCCCATAGCGAGAGAGATGTCTGACTCACAGCATCACACAATTGATCTGCCGGTCTCCTGGCGCTTTCCGTTCCACCCCTGTGGGTGGGATTTCAGCCCCAGGTCCCACACTCTATAACATGTCCAGGCTGTCTCCAATAAAACCGTTTTCTCTAATCATCCAGCCCTGATTTCCTTCGCTCCTGCGTTCAGTGGGATCCCCTGATCCTAAGCCCCAGCCCCAGGTTGTTGGGGGGATTATCTGGACTGTCCCTGATGCCCCCCACTAACAGGGCCAGTGTGCCCTGGGGCCCAGGATGAGGTGCCTGGAGCGTGATGGGGAGCACGGCAGGAGGTTGGGTGGCAGGGGTGACTGTGAGAGCAGCTTTGATGGGGGCTGTCGGAGAGAGACAGAACATGCAACAGAAAGAGAAAGAAATGACCAGCGCTGGGGATAGAACCCTGGAATCCTGGCTCCCAGCCTCCAACCCGCTATGGTTCTTCCCCATTCCCCTCCCAGCTCCCCCTACCCTTTAGTGACCTGGGACCTCCCGCACAAGAGAACTCGGCAGGATGATTCCCAGAGCACCTACTGATTGCGGGAACCCAGTCCCCGAGCCCACCCTCCCCCCAGCTCGCTTGGCCTCATCCGGCTCTGGGGCAGGAGACAGCTGAGCTGGGAGCCCAGCCAGGAGCCACAGGGCCCATTCTCTGAAGCCTCGGAACTTTTCACCCCAATGACCATCACTGATCTTTGACCGTATCCCCAGGCCTGGCGCCTCTGGGCCTGCGTCTGTGCTCCAAAATCTGGGAGCCTGCCCTGCCTTCATTTAGCATCAAGCTTTTAGGTTTGGTCTCATTCTCCACAAGGGACTCAATGCTTTGGAATGGGGCGGGGCCTCGGGTGGAGAGGGGGTGGACTACCCGCGGGGAAAAATAAGAGCCAGTGTCTATGGCTCTGGGCTGAGGTGGACATGCACCAGTACGTGATGCATTGAGGCAGCCCATGGAGGGACCTCATGTCCGGTGTCCCAAAGTTGTGTACAAAAAACCACCAGGCAGACTTACCATGTGTTAAACAACCCTGTACTGGGACGGAGAACGGGATGGGCAGGGGTGGGGTTACAATTGCTAGGAGGGATATGAAACCGTAGTTAATAGTAAGAGCTGTGAGGTGCTCATTGGTCACTGGAAATTCTCCTGGTTTCCAGCCTAGTGCACCTTCCCCAAAGCTAGAGAGGGTTTTCTGTGGGAGGGCCTGTCTGTTTTGCACTCAGGGGTCTGGGATCTGTGCAGAAAAAAGTTGGAGAGCTGTTTAAGTATTGGGTTTGGGTGCTGGTTCTGGGCACTAAACCCACCTCCTGACTGGGGCTCTCCAGTGCGAAAAGACTGAAGTGGACCATGCCTATGGATTTTTCCCTAGCTCTGTGCAAAGAAGTGTGATCAGGAAGCTGATTATTTTTAAAAAATTGTCATTTTGGGAGGGCTGTATGTCGAAAAACCTGTTAAAAACAGACTCCGAATTTGCATCACAAACCTTGCCATGGCCTTTGAACCAGCATGTTAAATTTCAAGGTAATCTGGCTAAGCATCTGGTCTTCAGAGAGGATTGAAAACCTCTGTCTCGCTGCAAAAAAGTACGATAAGCACGTTGAAATTTTAAAAATGGGTCATTTTGGGGGGTTGTATCTCAGGAACCCCTTTATAAAATGACCCTAGATCTGTAACAAAAACTTCCCCCCAGCCCCTGATTTGGTGTGCCAATTTTCAAGGTGCTCAGACAATGCTCATGGATTTTAGAACAGTTTGGATATCCCCGTCTCTGCTAAAATGTGTCAGAAAGCTGAAATATTAAAAATGGGCTGTTTAGAGGGGCTGTATCTCAGGAACTCCTTCATCTAATGACTCTAAATTTGCATCACAAACTCTGCCATGGACCCTGAACCAGCATATCAAATTTCAAGATAATCTGACTAAGCATGTAGGTTTCAAGAAGGATTAAAAGTCTCTGTCTCGGTGCAAAAAAAGCATGATAAGCAAGTTGAAATATTAAATATATGTTCTTTTGGGAGGGCTGTGTCTCAGGAACCCCTTTATTAAATTGCCTCAAATTTGCACTGCAAAGTGTATCCCAGGCCCTGAATTGGTGTGCCAATTTTCTAGGTGCTTGGACCATGCATATGGATTTTAGAACAGTTTGGATGTCCCCATCCCTGCTAAAATGCCTAAGAAAGTTGACATAAAATAAAGGGTCCTTTTGAGGGGCTGAATCCTGAGCATCCCTTTATCAGAGGACCCCCAATTTGCTCCACAGACTGTGCCCCAGGCTGCCAACCCACACGGCAGCTTTCGAGCTTATTGACCTGCATGTGGAATTTTTTTGAGCGGTTTTGGCACAAGCCCCGTGAGAAGGAAACGCCCACTTCTGAGCAGCTCGAGCACTCTGCTGCTGCATGGGATCCTCCATCTCCTTCCAGGGGCTCCCTGATTGGAAGGGTCCTGGTCCAGACTGAGCAGCGGGCCGGGTCAGAGCCCAGCGTGGTTACGGGGAGGAGCCGGGGGGTATTGGCGGGGTTGGAGGAGATGGTTTGTGTGTGTTGCTAGCTATGAACTGTGTGGGTGTGTATGTGAATTGCGTGTGTGGGTTTGTGTGAACTGGGTGTTGATATGAGACGTGTGTGTATGAACGTGAATTGTCGGGGGGGGGGGGCTGCGTGAACTGTGTGTTGATGTGAATTGTGTGTGTTTGGTAGGGTTGCAAACATGGCAATTCTAAAATCAGGGACTGTTTCTTAGCCCCCCTGCCCTCCTCCTTCCGATATTATCATTAATCATAACCAGCAGGACTCACCTACATTCGCCAGGGGTATTTCTTGCTGCTGGGGACATTGGCAGAGACTCTGTCAGTGAGGAGGCTGCAGCCCGGGAGGTCTGACCCCCCTGCCAGGCACAGGCCCTTCCTGCCCCTGGGCCTGGAGCTCAGCCCTGTCTGATTTCCCCGTGCAGCGCTGAAGGGCCGGGCTGGGCGGGAAGTGCAAAGATGCCCTGGTGAGTACTGGCCCCTGCTGGACAGGGCCCCCACTGACTCCAGCCCCCGAGCACGGCTCCGTCCGCTTTCCCTGTGCAGTTGCTGATGGGCAGGGCCAGTGTATGGGGCCGTGTGCCCTGGGGCTGCACTGAAGGCCAGGGTGGTAGGTAGGGTGACCAGACAGCAAGCGTGAAAAATCAGGACGGGGGTAGGGGGTAAGAAAAAGACCCAAAAATCGGGACTGTCCCTAAAATTGGGATATCTGGTTACCCTAGTGGGAGGGGAATGGAGAGATGCTCCCGTGAGTACTGGCCCTGCTGTTGAAATATGGGATAAAAGGCGTCCTGCGCTGACTGCGTCCGGGACAGGCAATTTTCTATTTAAATAAGGGACGTCCCTTGTCATACGGGACTATTGGCAGCCCTAGTTTGTATGAACTGTGCCTATGTTTATAGGAATTTTGTGTTTATGTGAATTGTGTGTGTGTGTGTATGTGTGTGTTTATACAAACTGTGTGTAAGTGTGACCTGTGTGTGTGTTTATGTAAGCAGAGTCAGGATGAGCTCTACCCTGACATCTGGTGGTGAATTGTGGCGAGTTGTGAAAAAGAACTTCAGGGCTGGTCTTGTCTGCATAGGCACACCCACGCTGCCCAGCATGAGCCCACAGCCGCCCAAATGGTCACTTTGGCTGCTGTGGGATCCCCGGTTTCTCTGTTACTGAGGCGGGGAGAATAAAGGGTTGTTACCCTGATTATGTGAATCAAGGACAATGAAACTGTTTTATGACAGAGGAACTTGCCATCGACTAAGTAGCACTTGCTAGACAAGGGACATGGGTTTCAAAACCCAGTGAATTGAGAGAGGTGGGGGGTAGGCATTTGTACTGGATGATATGTGCCCCCTTGAGGGGCTGAGATACCAATTACCCTTTTTCCCTTCTGTAAATGGGGGAGTTTGTGGGGGAGACTAAGAGAGCTAGGCAGAGGAATAGACAGGCTAGTGAAGGGAGTGGGTGGTGTTCTGCCAGTGTTCTGGTGCCCGTTGGGGTTTGTTTTGCTGTGGGTGGTGGTGTTTTGGTTTGGTTTGTGTTTCCTGGGCTAACAGGTTTTAGGTGGGAAGGCTGTGACTGATACAGAGGCAGCAGTGGAAGACACAGTGAGGATGACTGGATGTGGAAGCTGCGGCATGTACATGATCCTGGAGGGGTTACCTGAAAAGGGTTTTGTCTGCATGAAGTGCCGCCTGATAGAACTGATGGAAGAAAAGATCCGAAGATTGGAGATGCAGGTGGAAACTCTGGTTGAGTTTAGAAGGGGGTTTGAGCAGATGATGGAGCAAAGACATGAGGAGGCTGAAGGGAAAAGCTCAGACTTGCAGATGGAAGCAGGACCAAAGATTTCTGAGGGGAGACTGCTCGGTGAGGAAAGTGGACAGTGGAAGCATGTGACTAAGAGAACCAGGCAGAGGAAAAGACGGGCTAGTGAAGGAGAAATAGAGCTGAAGAACAGGTTTGCGGAGTTGGAAAATGAAGAAGGGGCACAGCAAGTGGTCGCTGAAGGTGAGAGGGCAAGGAAGAAGAGAAGAGCAGCTGGTCCTATAGGAAGAGGGGAAGAGTCAATGGAGATAACAACACCAAATATGAGCCCCAGGAGGATATGGGATGGGTTGCAGAGGATTGCAAGGGACAATAGGAATTGAGAGGACTTGCAGCCAGAGGGAACAGGGGATAGACCAGAGAATTGCACCATCAACAGGAAAGGGCAGGTCTACGTGATTGGGGACTCCTTACTGAGAAGAATAGACAGACCTGTAACTAGAGCTGATCCAGAGAACAGAAGGCTGTGCTGTCTGCTGAGTGCTAAGATACAGGATGTGGACTTGAGGCTGAAGAGGATCCTAACGGGAGCGGGAAAGAATCTGGTAACAAAATAGAGGAACTAGAGCTACTGGTGCAGGAAGTGAAACCAGATATTATAGGGATAACAGAA